ACGTTTCCATTTCTTCCGTGCTCGTTAATTATCGGAAACACATCTCGCGGCACGTCTGCGCAACAGAGAATCATTAATACTCTCAATTTCGTCCGCTTAATCGGTTCGCCGGCGTTAATCCTTAATTAATAAAATACGACGAGCAAGTTCCGAATGAACGAGAAGTTCTCGATGGAAGTTTTTGAAATTTATAATTCAAGTTAGAGATTTCCCAAATCTTTGTGAAATTTTATAGAAATTCAAGTTACAGACTCCTCGAAATTGAGGCACCGCAGAAGATTAATTTTAAAAGAGAATTCTCGATGGAAGTTTTTGAAATTTTTAATCCAAGTTGGAGATTTCTCGAAATCGAAGTCCCGCGGAAGGTTAATTTTAGAAGAGAATTCTCGATGGAAATTTTTGAAATTTATAATCCAAGTTAGAGATTTCCCAAATCTTTGCGAAATTTTATAGAAATTCAAGTTACAGACTCCTCGAAATTGAGGCACCGCAGAAGATTAATTTTAAAAGAGAATTCTCGATGGAAGTTTTTGAAATTTTTAATCCAAGTTGGAGATTTCTCGAAATCGAAGTCCCGCGGAAGGTTAATTTTAGAAGAGAATTCTCGATGGAAGTTTTTGAAATTTATAATCCAAGTTAGAGATTCCCCAAATCTTTGCGAAATTTTATAGAAATTCAAGTTACAGACTCCTCGAAATTGAGGCACCGCAGAAGATTAACTGCTGCAGAAAGCACGAGACACGTGTTATCACGGAGGCGTCGGATCCTCGTTCTTCATCTTTAAGGCGAAATTGCGTCGCGATGGCTGCTTTAACTGACAGTGTGCTAGTACCAGGGCAATTTAATACTGATAATTCGATGCTGAAAATCGTAACACGAGCTATCTACGGTTACACAGTGAAAGATTAGTCGAGCAGAATTTTCCCTTATTTTCTATAGGATTGTGTCGATGCAAAATATATCAGAAACGCATTTCTTTTCGAATGCAAATATTCTACAGAATAAATTTATATTATTTATCAGAACGAAAATCATAAAAACAAATTCGACAGGCTCGCAAAGATAACGCAATTCGAAACGAATTAGCGATCAACAGACAGCGGATATTTATGCAAAAAAAACAGCTCTACCGATTCAGATAACACCGACTCAATGTCCTCATAAATGCCTAAAATCCGCAGTCTAGCGATCGGTGAACTTAGACCGACAATATGTCGAAAGTGAAAACACGCGACAAAACGTGGCGTTCGATCTTCCAGCCGGACAAATATCCGCGATCTAATTTGTTATGCGAAAGGCGTCTCACCCACAAAACTGGATTCGCGTTTAATTTAACCCGAGAAAGATAACCTACGTCGCAGAGGCGTCTGCGAAATAAACAACTGACTGCACCGTTTTCATAGAGGTCTAGTGATTTAAGTTTAAAATTACTTAAAATATAAAAAAATATAATATAAATGCATTTTATTTTTACAATAATGCCAAACCTTTAAAATGACTAGATTAACTTAAATAAATATCCATTGTTAGTATAAAATTGACGCCTTAGAAAAGCATGCGCCACTGAAGCGTATGGTTATCTTTTACGTACGTTGTCATATGGTTATCTTTCTAGGGTTAAAGAATCCTCCGCGGTCATGCACTCGCATGTCCGTCTCCTCGCGGAACGTAAACATCGCCGGTGTGGCGCTTAAACGGTGCGTTTAAGTGATCGTTGAAGGGGAATCCAACGCCGGAACCTGTTTGTTGTAATACCCGTCCGGTGATTTATCGTTGCACAAGCTCCTTTCCCGGAAAAAGTATTTCGCATAGCTGGCTGAAGCGAACCGTGTTTCAGCACTCGGGGATGATCAACAAAGTGGCGGCAAACTCTTGAAAGCGTTTCCACTCCGCGCTCCTACCCTGTTCTAATCCGCCATTATTCGGCCAACAATAATCATCAAAGCCCCCCTCCCCCTCCCCTCACCGTGCCGCATTCGTCGAGCATTAAAAAAAGTGGCGCGAATTCAACGGCAACGACGCATCCTGCTTCCTCGCCCTTTGTACCCCCAAAAATTGCATTCGTATCCATCGACCTGCTTCGACGTTTTGTTTGCGCACGTGCGTAGAAATACACGGCGTGTGTCGCTAAACATCGCGTTCTTTGACAGTCGAGCGTCAAAGGATTCTTCCGTATTTAACTTGGAGAGGAGTCTGTAACTTGAATTTCTATAAAATTTCACAAAGATTTGGGAAATCTCTAACTTGGATTATAAATTGCAAAAATTTCCATCGAGAATTCTCATCTAAAATTAACCTACCGCGGGACTTCAATTTCGAGAAATCTCCAACTTGAATTATAAATTTCAAAAATTTCCATCGAGAATTCTCTTCTAAAATTAACCTACCGCGGGACTTCAATTTCGATGAGTCTGTAACTTGAATTTCTATAAAATTTCACAAAGATTTGGGAAATCTCTAACTTGGATTATAAATTGCAAAAATTTCCATCGAGAATTCTCATCTAAAATTAACCTACCGCGGGACTTCAATTTCGAGAAATCTCCAACTTGAATTATAAATTTCAAATATTTCCATCGAGAATTCTCTTCTAAAATTAATCTTCTGCGGTGCCTCAATTTCGATGAGTCTGTAACTTGAATTTCTATAAAATTTCACAAAGATTTGGGAAATCTCTAACTTGGATTATAAATTTCAAAAATTCCCATCGAGAATTCTCATCTGAAATTAACCTACCGCGGGCTTCAATTTCGAGAAATCTCCAACTTGAATTATAAATTTCAAAAACTTCCATCGAGAATTCTCTTCTAAAATTAATCTTTCGCAGCGCTCCAATTTCGAGAACCTCGTCGATAACTATCAGTAAGGCGCCAGCAATGTGAGAGAAAACAAAGCGAAGGAAATTCCTCTGCAACAATTAAGAGGCGGATAAAAAGAGCACCGTTTTCCGCGAAGAGTCAACAGCTGTTTCATTCAAAAGGCGCGCGGACCGCGGCCGAGCGAAAATCAAAGAGCGGGGTTATTCCGCGAAAGGCGGGCGTTAATGACTGGTTTTTACGACCGCCGTCCATCCGGTTGTATCGGCGGTCTGCAGACGGTCTGCGGTATCTCATCGGCACGGAATTTGCATGTTCCCCGAAGAGAAGAGTGCACCCACGCGTCCACCCGAGTAATTCCATCCCCGAGGCTCTCTCCTCGTGACACGTTCGTTTCGCTTCGCTCTGACTCATGCGATTTCGAAACACGGTCACGTTTTTGGCAAAAACAATGAGCTTTTATTACGGTACACTCGCATTGTCGCCGGTCTTCTGCAGTTGGAAGCCGATCTTTCGGGGACGCTGAACTCCAGTGGCCCGGAAAATCTTCGCCGATTTTGGACAAACTCTTGACATTAAAACTGTCATAACTTCATGGCTCGCAACGATAAAGCTGGACTCATTTTGAAGCTCGAAGCTTCTACTTTTTTTACGAATTGTTCGCTTTTTCACATTTGCTTTTGCATAGTATAGCCAATGGAGAACTAGAGACGCGATTCTCCTTGAAAATATTGCTAATTGAAACGTCTGCAAATTCACTGGACAATTTTTCTTCGGATCGATCTTGACGTAAATTTGAAGACCGAAGTCTCCTCTTTATAATGAGCTCGTAAATATTAGCGTACGATTTTTTTTTAGACTCATTATTGAGCTCTGAATGAGAGGCGTACTTCACGGTACACCCGAACTTGGTCCCCGTTTTCGTTCCATGAAACGGCTGGAAAAAATCGTGCAGCAACTTCTGAGGGGTTTTCGTAAAGCGGAAGGTTCGTTCTTCGAATACGTGGTAGACTCGTTCGTCGAAAAAATTTGCCAACGATTTTGCGGACCATTTTGGACAGCATTTAAAATGTAAATCGGAAATTGTTCGGAGACATTCGGAATCGTATTTGAATCACGCAGCGGCCAATTAGGGATTACCACCCCGGCGGCCCGAATTTGTCGCTGGAACAAACTCGCGAATAGAAATTCCCTGTTGCATAAATGTATTAGGGTCGTGTAAACGCGACGGTGACGCGACGCTCCTTTAGGCGATGGCCGTTATCAATTTTCTAGGGCGAGCCGAACCGGTTGGTTCTCACAAATTTTTTCCTTCCAACTTCGCGGGAGGAAAGTTTTAATTGAATTTCTTCGCCGACCACGGGAAATTTCGCGTTACCCTTGGACGGAGCGGATCAAAGCAGCCTACGAACCTTTGAAGTTCACCTGGGACGCGGCCGCGACAAAGAATTTTACGCTGTCCGGGCAAACGGCGAAATTTCGTTGAATCGTTAATGTACGCCCGTCATTTTCGATACACAATTAGTAGCACTGTTTAATTGAATGTAATAATACGGTGAATAATTTACATTATCGCTGGTCTATTTCATTTCGCCTCGGTCACGCTTAATTACCGTAATCATACCGACGCACGAGCACGAGTTCATGCCGCATTGTGAATTTAAAATTGGGTACTGCTGTCACGACCGAGGCAGGAAATATTTATGGGCATCGCTCGGGTTTCCTATTCTAATTGAAATTCGATTCGAATTTCCTATTCGATACTATAAAATAAATAAGCTCGATTCAAACATAAATGATAGAATGTTTAATAGACCGACCGCGCATCTTTCGCGCAAAATTCGTAAATCGCGCGAAACAGTTGCTAAATACGAATTTATTCTCTGCCTTAATCATTTTAATAGATCGCGGGTAATATGATATAATTAATGTTTTCGCTGTTATTTATCAAATTAATTCTTGACACAATAACAATCGATGAAACACGGTAAATTATCAACGTCGCTTTGAATCTATTAAAATTATTAAGCGCACCTTCGCTTAATTATTGTTTCGTTTCACATGAAAATCCACGGTCCACTAACGAGACAGGGAACAAACATAATCGAGGGATGCGGGATCGAATTAACGATAGTCTTCTTAGTAAATGGAACGTTCCGATTCTAATCGCGGTTTCTGTTGCAGGTACCTATCAAGGCCAGTGGCACCGTGGAATGAGGCACGGTTATGGTGTAAGAGCAAGCGCACCCTTCGGTTTAGCCAGTCATTACAAGCCGTCGAAGCAAGTCAGAGCGTCGTTGACGTCCTTGAGGAGTGCGGATGGCGGAGGACCAGTCGCCCCGACACCGGAACCAACCGACAAGAGGGACCGTCGTGTCGACGACAGCAGGGGCGGTTTTGTATTGAAAGCTAGAAGCGACGATCCTCCAGCCAGGAGGAAGAGCCTCACCGAGAAGTCCTTGAAGAAGGGAATCCTCTCGGTAAAGTGTAATTTTCAATTCGGATCTCTTACAAACTGCCTAAAGCTTTTAACTTCGGTGGAAAGTACGCGTTCAGGAGAATATTTCATATACAGGGTGCCCCAAAAATGTCTCGCAACCCGGAAATGGCGGGTTCCTCGGATCATTTGAAGCAACTTCTTCCTTTACAAAAATTTTCTCCGAGGCACCGTTAACGAGTTATTAACAAAAAAAAACAGTGACCAATAAGAATCGAGTACGGCTGACGCGAGGCGGTCCGGTCAACCAGCGCGCGCAGCCCAGTTCCGTTCATTGGCTCGGTCGCCTCGCGCCAGCTGAGCTCGCCTCTTATTGGTCACTGTTTTTCGTTAATAACTCGTTAACGGTGCCTCGGAAAAAATTTTTGTAAAGGAAAAAGTTGCTTCAAATGACCTGAGAAACTCGCCACTTTCGGATTGCGAGACATTTTTGGGACACTCTGTATTTGCAGGACAATAGCCAAAGGTGGAGTCTAATTTATAACTCAATTTATTTCAATAATAACACTGAGATGCGTTTAACCATCTCTGTTTAGGATTACTAGAGCAAAATTATTATTTTAGTTATTTCATATTCTCTTCAAGATTCCTAGCAAAAAGTTATTTAAGATTTTCCTGTTTCATGATTATTAAGACTGAGGCGAAAGTTCAATTCATAATCATTTAATAGCACTTACAACGCTGCAAGAAATTTTTAAGAATGTATCGAGTTAGACAGTAGTTCTTCCAAATGCACGGGAGATTCAATGTTGGCTATTCTTGTCCGCGTTCGACTATATTCTTTGCTCGAGGGGTGTAATCTACCCCTAAAATTAACTCGGAACTGCCAGCGTTGAAATAAAATTAGAAATTCCGAACATCGAGAGGGTTGCTTTCGCGAGGAGATAATTTCTCTGACCGCCGCTTTCCATCGAGGTTACCGTTTCTTAATCTTGATACTTCGATGTCTGCACTTTTCCTTTCACTTGGCATTCATCCACTTCTCAAACTTCATCAAACTTCGGAAACTAAATCGAGTAGAGTAATATCGGTGGTTCAACATGATTCAACATCGACGTACCATAGATAACATTTGTCTCGCTTGCCGTCACGTCAAAGAAACAGCTTTCTTTGTTTGTTCTTTTTTCCCCGGGCCTGTAATGTCTCGTTGTCCCGGTAGAATCAACGAGGCCACGCTCATTACAGCGAAACTGTAATTGCAGGGACTGAAAATTCGAAAACAGAGGAGCACAGGTGACTTGGAGAAACGCGGCACCGGTGGCAGTATTAGAAGCAACGTTAGCTCGGCGTCATGGATGTCGACAGAGAGCTCGCAGAGTCAAGCATCTGCATCCGTTCACACGGACAGCAACGCGTCCTTTGTCATCGAGGTGCGTTGCCATTGTACAATCTCGAGATCCGTAGCCGTTGCGATCGCTCTCGTGGATGCGCATCGGAGGATCGTTGCGCAGGGGAGAAGGACTGAAAAATGATCCGTGGGCGGAGAATAAAAGATATTAGCTTAAGTCGGATTAAAAATAACGGCCCCGAAGAAACGGATAATCCTGAAAGGGCGCGAGCCCATTACCGGCGCAAGCGTTATTAAATTTTCGATGCGATTACGTCCCTCGGTAGAGTCCGTAGTAAATTGCCCGACGTCGATTCTTGCGCTTCCGAATGAGCCAGTCTGCTTCAAACTCGATCAAACTTACGCCGGTTGAAGCGCAATTTCATTTCCCACTCAGCGGAGTGTCCATTGTTAAATGAACAAGTCCGATTCAAGCTTGATCAAACTTAGTTATAGATCCGACTTTGTTCGCAGTCCGACGAAATTCCAAGCCCCGTTCTTGTAAATCGATGCGCACGATCGAATCCGCGTGGCTCGAGGTTTGATCCTGTTTGAAATCCAACGAAACCGGTCGTCGATTCGAACACTGTAAAAAGAATCAACCTGTTGCCCGAACGTGGCACGATGCACACGAACACACAAATCTATTCGGTTCGAGCTGTGACCGACAAGAATTAATCGAAACGAAGCAATAAGAATCAACCTTTCGCTCGACGCGGCACGATGTACGTGAACCCGTATCGAACCAAATCTATACAGTTCGAAGTTTGACCCCATTCGAAGCCCCCTAAAATAGTCTCAATCACGAATTCGAACACAGTAAATAGAATCAACCCGAACGCCGCACGATGTACATGAACCTATAATTAAACCGAATCAACACGGTTCGAGGTTTGACCCCGTTTGAAGCCCGCCGAAGTAAACTAAAAAATCATTGATATTCAACTTCGATAATCGGAATCAACCTCTCGTCCGAACGTAGCACGATGTACACGAACCCTTTATCGAACCGAGTCTCCACCAGTTCGAGGTTTGACCCTGTTTGAAGCCCGACGAGAATCGACGCGACCCCACAGTAAATCGACATCTTGCCCCAGCATAGCACCAGTCGCATATTACCAACCCTCGAACGAGCTCCGCGAGCGAACCGCGGCAGCTTTTCTAACCGGACTAATTCGGATTGCAGGACGAGCAGATGGACGCCTCGGTGACGGAGACCTACCTGGGCGAATGGAAGAACGACAAGCGGACAGGGTTCGGGATATCGGAGCGTAGCGACGGTCTCCGGTACGAGGGCGAGTGGTTCAACAACCGGAAGTACGGCTACGGCGTGACGACGTTCCGCGACGGGACGAAGGAGGAGGGCAAGTACAAGAACAACGTGCTGATCAGCAGCCAGAAGAAGAAGCACCTGTTCCTGATCAGGTCGGCGAAGTTCCGCGAGAGGATAGAGGCGGCGGTGAACGCGGCCCAGCGGGCGAGCAAGATCGCGCTTCAGAAAGCGGACATCGCGATCTCGCGTGCGGCGGCGGCGCGCGGCCGAGCGGAATTGGCGGACATCGCGGCTCAGCACGCGAGAGAGGACTCGGAGCTGGCGCAGCAGACTGCCAAGCAGTTCGCGCCGGACTTCCGGCAGCCGGGGCTGGAGAGGTTACGGACCAGGGAGATCCCGAAGTACGTGCCGCCCCCGCAGGACAGCGTTCCGAGGAAGAGCATCCTGCAGAAGGCGGGCAGCGTGGACCAGCCCGGTCTCCAAGCTCCCACGAAGAGCCCGATCTCGTCCATAGAGCCCACGTCGACCACCAGCACGTCCACCGTCAGCAACATGATGCAGTCGATCAGGCGGGCCAGCATGAAGCAGAACCAGCTGCCGCAGAACCCTCTGCTGGCGAACCAGCTGCCGCAGAGCCAGAACCCGCTGCCGCAGAACCAGCTCACCCAGAATCAGATACCCACCCAGGTGACTCCCGCGCAACTGGTGAACCAGTTGCCGCTGAGCCAGCTGAACCAGACTACCCTGAGCGGCCAGAACCTTTACCAAACACAGTTCCCGCCGCAGATGCCCCAGAATCTCGTGCCGCAGGGCCAGTACCCTAACAGTTTACCGAATCAGTATCAGCAGCCGGGCCAGTACCCCGGAGGCCCGTTCCTCCCGCAATCTCAGTTTCCTGTTCAGGGTAGTCCGTACGGTCAGCCGCAGTACCAACCGATCAGCCCGCCACAGGCCGACCCGTACTCTTATCAGCAGCAGATGGCTAGCCCCCAAGGCTACCAGAATGTCCAGGCATATCCCAATCAGCAGGTGATCTACTCTAGACTGCTTGCCCGTGGGTGCTGTTTGATCAAGCGGTTTGTTTGTCTAATCCAAATCGTCTCGCTCGCTTTCCTCGGCGAACTTCTCCTTCGCGCCGAGGAGTCGCGATTAGGCTAAGGGTCTTCGCGCAGACGGTCGAAGATACTGATACTCTCGCTTCGTCGAAGATCTGCGGAAGTTCCCATAGGCCTGATGATACTTTATTATGATATATAGTTTGTTGAAAAACTGTTTGACGCGTAGTTTCGTTCATCCGTTATCCGTTGGTTTTTGTTGAAACAACTGCCAAAGTCGAGGGTAAACGAGGAGGTAAATTTTTCGAGATAAATTGTGTACTTCCGTCGACAAATTTAGACTAGAATATTCCGGAAAAGCTTCCTTGTTGAATATTTAAGAAATAAATCTCCCTTTTCAGTTTCGTTTAATAATTTGTTTATCCATTTTCATGTAAACTCGCGTGCGCGATGTTTGTACTAAAACAGGGGAAACGTGTTTTCGATAAAAAAAGATGCACAATTTAAAAGAAAAATAATTACTCTACACCCTCATTTTATCGTCGACTTTGACAATCAATGCAGATGAAAACACGTGCGAAATAATTTTCAGCAAACTACACCGTACTAAAATATCATTGAAATCGGCGCGTTATTCTTGGATGTGTTCCCCCGTAAGAAGCCCCATAATAATCGTCCAATCAGACGGCTGTCGGGTTTCGTTTTCCATTGGTAATCTGGTGGTGATCTTTGTCATCCTACTGACCACGATTGATCCAACCAAGACGTCCACACTGACGCACGCCCAGCACCCCAAAAAGTGGCTAACTATTTCCGATTGGTTAACGAAGATTGCTTTTGAGGATGCTGCGCGATCGCTGCGGCGAGTCGGGCGATGGGACTGATTCCATCGGATCTGTTCCAGATGACACTACCGAATCAGTACGGGCCTGGTCAGATGAGCCAGTACGGCTCGCAGCAGTTGTACGGGCAACAGCCGCCACCGCCTCAGCAAACGCAGGTTCCGCAGCAGTATCAGCCCGACGGGATCGGGGACCCGCAACGACCACCGAGTTCGACGAGTATACGAAGAAACAGCAGGGTCTTGACCCCGCAAGATCGACCCGAGACTATTGGCCAAACTCTGAACGACAGGTCCCGACCTTCTCTATCGAGCGCAGAAAAATATTTTCGGTTTCGGAACGGCAGATAAATTTAACCGCGAGCCCGTAAAAAGCACAGCCTGCACACGCGTAGCGTTATCGGTCGACCAGATATCTAGCCACCGGCTCGGGATTTGTCGCAAAATATTTGTCAGCTTCATAGGAGCTCGTTAACCATCGAACATCATCGCTATCTTATTTCGAGAAGCATGCGCTAAACTGGACCGCGGAAGTTTATGCATTTTGCACTGGTACGGAAGTTCTATTTCCGGATTGACACCTTCGAGACGTTCGAAATAAGTTGAGAAATATTGGATTTCCGATCATTGTTTCGGTTCACTGTGTCGTTATTTATCGTTCTTTTTGCTATTCTTGAAAGTGCTAACAATAGTTCCTGCAGAGAACTGAATTCTATATGAAAATCTCTGTGTGTGTGTGAAATAATTAGAAAATTGAACGATATATCGTAACCTTTTGTTCTGTACACGATCAAATGCCGTTAATATGTCGACATTCGTCCTGAAAGGCTCGAATCTGTCAAATCTTATTCGTTCGATAATTACTCGATAATTATTCACAGTCTATTGATCTCGCGAAGCGTTTCGTAATCACGCAGACATTTCGAGCAAGCCTGCAATCACTATGAAAAGAAACGTACGATGCACGTAACGATTGTCGGGGCATACGAAACGTAGCGAACGTGTCCAGTGTCACGAATGCCTGAAGTTCTGCGATCTAGAGCCGAGATTACGTTATCTGCTTGTACAATTAGCGGAGGATTTTCGAATCGCGGCGACCTGATTTTAATTCAGCCGGTTCCGCTCGATCGTTTTACAGACTAGATCATTACAAGAGGCCGCCCAGCCGCGATAGTTCCGTGGATCGTTACGCTAGAGCGCATTCCCGGTTGACTGGATCGAGGCAGCCGTCCGTCGATAAAACCATCACGAACCCGCCCCAGGATATGCTCGACAGGTGACTAAACTGTTCCCAATCCGCTCTGAAAACTGCCTCCATTATTCACTCGAAACCGTGGCGAATCTTTACGAAAATATCCTGCAAGTATGTCAACTATGATACATAACAGAGGTCGCATTTTTGTTCGTCGATTTGGATCTCGAAAAAAATGGAGGGGCGCTCGCTTTTACTTTGTCACGAGAATCTTTGCTTGGATTTACAGTTATCGTTGAATTTCGTGGTAAGACGATGGAGTTGTCGTTGAGAAGAGGTTAGGCGACACAGGAACCATTCAAAAATTTCTGAGATTGATAATTTTCTAAGCAAATATTTGGTAAATAATATGCGATTGAGAGAGGTTAGGTGCTTTTAGGGACCGTCCTTGAATTTCTAAGGGTTGATACTTTTCAAGCGACAGGATTCGGTGCTTTCGATATACAGGGTGCCACAAAAATGTCTCGCCATTAGGAAATGGAGGATCCTTGAGGTCATTTCAAGCAACTTTTTCCTTAGCGGAAATGCAATCCGCGGATTCGTTTACAAGTTATTGACAAAAAACACTGACCAATAAGAAGCAAGCTCGACTGGCGCGAGACAGCCAACAAATTCTCGCGGCTCTCATTGGCCACTGTTTTTCGTTAATAACTCGTAAACAAAGCGGCGGATTGCATTTCCGCTAAGGAAAAAGTTGCTTCAAATGGCCTCAAGAATCCCCCATTTCCTAATGGCGAGACATTTTTGTGACACCCTGTAGGCTAGATTAAATGATTAGACAATGACGTTGAGATTAAAAAATAATAAATGTTGGACATCATTCCTGAATTTCTAAGAATCGCTACTTTCCTAGCCAAACACTTCCTACACAATACGACGATGAAGTCGTTATTACAAGGTATTAGGAAAACCAACCCTAATCAACCCTAAATTTCTAAACGCTGACACTTTTCTAGCCACAGAATTGCCTGCTGTCATTCTAAACTGGATTAAATGATAAGACGACGAGGTTGTGATTAAAAGATGCCAGATTTTTTGGACAACGTCTCGTAATTTTCAGCGATTCATTGTTCTCTAGACGAACGTTTCACAGATAGTAAAACAACAACGAGGCTGTGTGTGATTCAGAGATGGTAAGAGAACAATGTTTGCTGCAGATCAACGAGAGCACCGAGCGTGATCCGATCAGGCACGCCTTTGAACGGATCTGTGGTGGGCAGCGGCACCGCGACGCCGACGTACGCCGCCTCGACTTCCGGTCAGTTCGAGGGCGCTCTGCTGAAGAATCGTGGCCTTGGACAGGACATTCTACCGAGCCAGGGACAGCCTAAGCGCACCGAAAGCCTCTACGTCGCTCCCGGACGCGGTCCAACCGCATCCGTTGGCGGCGGCGGAGGCGGAGGCGGTGGCGGCGGGGGCGGAGGACCGAAGGTGAGTAATCCTTTTCTCGTGATTTACCACCATCGTATAGATATTATTATTACTATTACTATTATTATTATTATCATTATTCTTATTATTCTTATTATCATTATTATCATTATTATTACTATTATTATTATTATTATTATTACTATTATCATTATTATTAATAATAATATTATTACTATTATCATTATTATTAATAATAATATTATTATTATTATTACTATTATTATTAGTATTATTATTATTATTATTATTACATTTATATTCCTATTTGTCACGCGACACCGTCGTCCTGGCACATGCCTCACGAGGCTTGGGAAACTGCCTTGGATCTCTTGGATCCCTTGGATCTCGATCGTACAGTCTGAATCAATTTTATATTTCTATAATGGATATTATAAAATATCCTATCACTATAATCGATATTATTATTGTAGAAATGGTAGCGTCTGCTTTTTATCCAACTCGTGTCTTAGGAAAGGAGGTTGTGAATAAATTGTTAACTTTTTAAATGACTCGTGAAATTTACGAACCCGGTTGTTAAGCGACGTAGTTTTCGTATTCGATGAAAAGTTAAGAGATATAGTTGAAATAAAATGGCGTGCAAAATGTTCGTTTCGAAGACGATTCAATTTTCAATCAATTCCGAATGTCGCGGACCTGTCACTTCAGCGGTTAATACAGCTTTCGTTGTCGATTTAACTGAAATCAGCGTTACATCTTGCATTTGTTTAAACAATTTTAAATACGGTAAACTGCATTTTTGTAACGATAATATCCAATCCGTCCATATCGTATGTCTTTTAAATATAGTGCTATAACAATTACTGAAAGATCACTGATGTTACAAATGTACGAAAGCGGACCAATTAAAAATATGTGACAGCATCTCGTGCAGAAATAAGATCACGCAGCCGCGTACCACGCAACAATAATCTTCGCGAAAAATATACCAACGATCTACGAGCTTTCGTAACGTTACGAAATATGCATTCGCGCGCGAAGTTTAACAACGTTTAAGAACGAGACCTTCGACATTGTTTCCTTATCGCTAACCTTCCGGCCGCGCGTATCGTCGCGAAATAAATGTTTATGCAAATTACACGGAACGGAACGATCCGGAGAAATGCGAAAACCGGCCGACTGTTTCGCGAGCGTGCCAGATTATCGTACGTGTGAAAATTCGTCGAGAAAGAGATCCAAGAGGAGGAAGAGCCAAGGTGCGTTTCCCGGCCGAATCTCCCTCTTAGTGCATCATTTAGGCGTTTCTCACTCTCTTCATCGAACTCCCCCCCGACTCACGAATTCTCCGGGCATGAAAGATTGTACCGCGGCCGGTTTCGTCGAAAACGTGGACTCGTCGGCGTGACTCGGTGCAAACGAGACGCTTCTTCCGGGGAGGATCGCTCGGAAATACCGCGGCCCGTCAAACAGGATAACAATCGTTCGCTGTTACTCGTTCATTCACGCGTGGCCCGCGCATCACCGGCGGTTTATAGCCTGGCAGCGTTTCCTCGCGAAAAGGAAATGCCATCGAGCCGACGTAACCGCCTTGAACCGAGTTCCGAGAATTCCGTGTAGAGAGAACATCGCCGATCCACGTAGCCACGTAGACCGTTTAACCCGTTCGCATCCGCAGCCGGAATAATCCGCGCGCGTATTATCGCCAATTATCGCCGATCGTGGGAGCGCGACGCGAACTTGTCCACGATTTTGTCGCGGTAAACGTGGACGGCGCAATTATCCGTCGCGGTGATGGCCAACCGATGCTAATAAAAAATCGTAGAAGTGGTTAATTGATCTAGCGACTGATCTTAGAAGTGGTCAATTAGCCTAGTCATAGCTAATCTTAGAAATAGTTAACCGATCCAGCAACCGATCTTAGAGGATCTAGAAGCAACTGATCCAGCGACTAGTCTTGAAAATAGTTCATTAATGTTCGAAACGGTTAACCAATCGGTGACAGTTGGAGAATCATCGAGCGCGGATAGATTCCGCTTGCGGATGCAAATGGGTTAATCGATACAACGGTTCCGAAGACGATTGCCACCGAAGTAACTTCCGATCGGTCGCTTCATTCTGCCTGCTAATTAGCCATAGTACGATTTTTTCTCTGAGCAAAAACCCCTTTAGCCGTCAAGTTACGTTTCGCTTCGCATGGGGCGCCGTCCGAGTGATCGAATCTCGATGAAACTTGCAATACTCAGACCCTTGGCAGTATTCTGCAGAAATGCGTTGCTAGCATTTAGTTGTTTGTATTTGGAACACCATACTTTTCTCTCTCATGATTTTTTAACTCCAGTTTCTTGCAATCGATTTTGAGACAATTTTGATTTTGTACAAAGAATTTTAAATTTGCTCGCTACTTTCATTTCTTGCAACAAACGATGTTGGGAATTTTTTGATATATTATGACTAGAAATATTAGAAATATAAGAAGCATAAGTTAGACGAGAATGTCTCTCCTCTACTAATTAATGTAATATGATGCAATGAAATATAATATATGATATCTTAATAACTGTAATAAATATTGAAATAGCAGACTAAAATAGCAGACAGATTAAAGGAATATAAGGACACGAATCTTGAGATTGTTAAACAATTTTTATCTTGTCCCTTTGGATCTTTATCCGCGAAATATAAGAAATATAAGTTAGACGAGAATGTCTCTCTTCTTCTAATTAATGTAATATGATGCAATGAAATATAATATATGATATCTTAATAACTGTAATAAATATTGAAATATAGCAGAGACTAAAATAGCAGACAGATTAAAGGAATATAAGAGCACGAATCTTGAGATTGTTAAACAATTTTTATCTTGCCCAAAGATTCGCGAAATATAAGAAATATAAGTTAGTATAAGAAATATAATATATGATATCTTAATAACTGTAATAAATATTGAAATAGCAAACTGAAATAGCAGACAGATTAAAGGAATATAAGAACACGAATCTTGAGATTGTTAAACAATTTTTATCTTGCCCAAAGATCCGCGATCTGGTAATAACTTTAGCGTCATTGTGTATTTCACCTATTCACTTCTGTTATAAATATATAAAATCCGCGTTCTAATTGCGTGCGACGAGACTGACAGAGTTAAAGAGTCTGCTATGCCCAGTTCCAACTTTGAGGGTTGTGTTTCCACCCGAGAACATAAAAGAACGACAACTATACTAAATCCACGTCGAATGCTTCATCGAATTCTATCCGACTGCAAGTTTCATGAATGTCGCTCCGACGGCGAGCCTTGTCAGTATAGTTGCGCGGTAGTTGCTAGCTAGCGACCAAGAGACTTAGCCATGCACTTCCGGTTCTTCTTGAACGATCGACAAGAGTTAGCCCGAGCTGGAGGAGCGATTTCGACCGGTCGTCGGTGTCCTCGCAGATCGTCGTTTCACAGAAGCAGCAGGCTCGACGCAAACCAAAACGACCACCTGAACCTAAACGATCTCCTCGCATACACACACGTACACGCACACACACGAACACACACACACACACACGTTAACTGATCATCTCTCGACCATGTCCCGACCGAAAAAAAAAGAAATCAATCCAGACCAACCAAGAATATTTTGTTCCCTTTCTGTATCTGTATCTTTTCTCTTCTCTGTCGATTTTGTCTGTCTGTGTAACTGTGTGGCATTTTGTGCTGTGTTCTGTGCATGCCATCCCAGGACGCAGGCCGGACGGTCCCCGCCTTCGCCGCAACGTCGAAGGGCCGCGCAACCCTATGAGTATAAGTATTATAATCAAATATGTACACACTGCGATTTGGCGGGAGGTGGCGAGAAGCTCAAGTCGCGTTTTCCTCGCGTGTTTTCACTCTCCTGGCCGAGAAACCCGGCACGCGGTCTCACCCTGGATGCTCGAGCGGCGGCGGAAACTTTAGGGGACGTTCTCCGAGACGGTTAGGGCACTCCGGTATACGGCAGTGCGGTGTCCGGGAGTCGTTTAGCGAGGATAACTTAGGCTAAGGTTGAACGCTGGTGGACGGGCTTAGGTGGACGTAGTCGTACGATTTTATAGATTTTTTCTAGACATTTCGTTTCTCCGCGATTATTTCGACGCTTCGTGACGGTTCGTTCGTTGGTTCGAGTCTTCGCGAATTGGACTGCGGACTTTTATGCATTTATAGCAAAAAGAATGGATAAACGAGGCTATCGAAGACAGAAGAGAAATTACGAATACTATTACTTTTACTTTCACTGTATCAACGTTGTTAAAAGAATAAATACTTTTTTTATGTAACTTCTAATTATATAATGGACGAGGACAATTTTTATTTCGCATAAAGATCCGTGATCTAGTCGTAAGATGCGGGAGCCACGTTGACATTTATTTCATGCTATCGTAACTTTAATTAGCTGAAAATAATGCAAGGGTATCGGCGAAGTTCTTCAAATGATTTAACCATCTCGCATTCGATCTACGCTCGTTTTTTCTCATAAACACATAAAATCCTCGGTCTATTTATAAGATACATTATCTAACGTTATCTCGCGAATATTCATTTTGAGTACAATCGTAAATGTAAATCTACAATTGCGAGCCTACGAGATTCAAGGAGAAAGTTGTTACTCTTTTATGCCGATGAACATACGTTCGATCTCTTTGACAGCCTACGTGAATTCCTGTGATACTTGAAGTGATCCTACGCGACAAAGCAACCCACGATGTTACAAAAGCGATCTTCGCTTAAAGGCAAAAACGCGTACAAAGAACGGATCCGCGAAGTCCACAAAGAAACGTGTTATCCCTTTCATCTCTTCGATATTCTCGGGACTCTCGAACAGCCTAAATAAATTCATGCCTCGCATCCGGTAACTTTATACAACAAAGCCAAAGGATCGTAAAGGATCTAAAGAATCGCGAAGGATCGTGAAGGATCCGCATTTATTAATAAGAACACGGTCGAAGGATCGCGTGATATCTGTCGCCTAACGACATCGTCTCCGATAAACGCTTTATTTTTCAGAAGCTTCGTACCTAACGCGCGAACGTACGCGGCATTTGCCCGGAGGCTGGTAAAGTATCATTCCTTATCACGAACGTCCCGACGACAGGACTTACTATATACTAGAAGAAATCCGCCGATAAATCCTAAGTACCGTCCCCGTCCACCGGCGAAGGTAGTTTAACTTGTTCGTCGTACCGTGTCGCAGTGTATCTAGTGTTCATAGAGTTCAATGTCTGTCGCAGGGTGTCACGTTGTGTTCCTTGTAACCGAGGCTGCTTGTACAGCGTGCTTATTTACTCGATAAAAGGAAGTCTCGATTTTGCTCGAGAAAAAAGACAAAAAAAAAGAAAAGAAGAAATACAGTAGAGAGCGAGCTCGCTCGACGATCCAGGGTGAACTCGCGACGCAGCCCCGCAGACTTCTCTGCGCTCCACGTTCCGCCGGCCAAGCCGGCCCAGATGTTCGCGCGTTCCCGGGGTCCCGGAGATCGTGTGTTTAATTGAAAAGGCTCGTCGTCGACCGGTGATCACGGTGATCATTCCGGGACCGTGCCAAAGACGACCACCCTCGGACACGGTGCTTCCCGCGTGCCGGACCATGCACGCGTGTTCGCGCGCCAGCGCTCCTCGGATCGGTCGATCGAACAACAACAACGCGTCGAGATACACCATCCCCATTCTGGGTGCGTGTGTGTGCGCGGACAAGGTTTAGACGAGCGGACGGCCACGGTTCTCGCGGTTTATACGTCGTGGCCGGCCCTCGACGGGAACAGAGACCGGAACCGTTGTTTGGCAGGTCGAGAAGAAAAATATTTTCAGATCGACACTTTAGTCTCGCCGGTACACCAGCCAGACTAGCCGCGAGGCTGCGGGGCAAGGGTCATGACGGCAAGCTAATTCGGTGGATTAGGCGAACGCTGTTTATGGTCCTCGGTGCTGTTTGCGCACGTGGCGGGTTCGATCCGCTTCGAATTTTCTAACCGAGTCCGGATGGATTTCCGTCCGATAAAAATAATCATGACACGTTGCACAGATCGTTTTCTGTATCGCAGTTGCACTTTTTGATTCCTGAGAGGATATTCGGGGTCGTTCAAAAGTCAGTCCTTCGTTTGGTACTGATTTTTTAAAGAATATTTAGGTTAACGTCGATTTTTGTGTACAAATTTTTGTAAAATTTCGTGGAAACTTGTCATACGGATAAATTGATGAGAAATTACGATATTTTTTCCGGCAATACTTCATCGTTCGAAATATTAACCCTTAGCACTCGGAAGATTTTTCTGAAAGTTTGCAGAAATTGCGATCTTGCTATACAAAGCTGAAATAGAATTCGATTTCACCGCTGTGAAATTTTATAGGAATTAATGAATAAAAGATTTCGTGTTCATTTGTTTTAAATGATTACCTTACGATATAAAGAAATAAAAATTAAGGAGAAATGCCACTTCTACCGTATCGGTTCGAATGCTTTCAATGTTACTGGAATTTTCTCATGATTTTCGAATGCGCTAAGAAACGTCTGGCATTGATAGCACGATGCTCGAGAATCTCGCGACAAATGCGATTAATTAAGGAGCCTAGATATCTCGCGCGAAATTCAAAGAACGTGTCTAATAATAGAAGCTCCTTTTGTCGGCCGCGATGACAAAAAGAGCGGCCAAGAAAAATTGGTGCCCGGACAATGGAGCCGAACAATGCGGGAGGCAAGGATGACTCAGAAATTTCGAAAGATTGAATCCGCAAACAGTGTGTCACGGTGAGTCACCGGAGGAACAAACGTGGTTCAGTGACCTGTGTTCGGTAAAATACGGCAAAAAGGATCGACTTAGCGAGCTCCCCTGAAAAAAAATCCGTTCCGCAGCCTCGTCCGTAGACTTCCGCGACTCTTTCCAACTTCTCAAGATGTGAATTAGCGAAGCAGAACTTGTACCTGGTCGTAGATTGTTATTTAGCCACTGCGTACATCTATACGCGTAGACGACGAACCGCGGCATGCGGATCGATAGACAGTTAATCCTTCCGGCGTAGAATCTTGAAGTTTTAAACAGAAAAATCTAGGGAAAAAACACACACAAACGAGGAGCATCTCCGTGACTAGGCTTCGTAAAGAGTAACTTATATCGATCGAGCGGAACGAGAGATGACGACGCCTAACGAGGCCGAAAGGGTTAAGCCGAATTTCGGCATCGAACGAAACGAGCGACGTTCTTCACGCCTTCTTGTCAGAGACAGACGAAATTATTTTTTTATGGGAAGCACAATAGACGTAGCCGAACGGTGAACGAAGGTTTACCATGCCCTCGGATCGAGCACGTTAATTGCGATCCATCTGCCGATGTCGCGATCGTTTCGATGATCCTCTGTACTCGAGACATCGACGACGGCGTTCAGTTGATCTCCGGTTCGATTTTCCTCGTTAGTCTCGCGCGAGACTCGGGACAGAAAGCGTGATACCGATTCCAATTGGCTGGCGCGCCGGTGGGCGGAGTCGGTGGGCGTGGCGTTCGACGCGCCGAGGTGGAGACTGACGGAGACGCCAACGAGGAAAAACTGACCTGAATTTCTGTGCCTGAAGAAAAATCAAATACGCGAACACTGATGATTCTTTTTCTCGGAACGATATATTCGTCTCTCAAAAGCTGTCCTATAAAATTCTCTGAAAAGTTTCGAAGCGCCGTGGATTCGGTATCGTATCGATTCCTAAAAAGTATCCGTCGCATACGAGTGAAAGGGTCGCGACATCGGCAGTGAAGGTGGCGCAAGTGCGAGGAAAGTGCGAGAAAAGTGCAAGAAAGTGTACGCGACACGTTCGCACAGGATCCGCTTTGAACACTCCCATCGCGCTTGAACGCGGCCAGTTCCCCCGGCAGCCGTGTAAATAACACGCCCCTTTCCGAGTCCCGCCGCCATTTTCCGTTGCCACGCCCCTCGAGTCGAGACGACTGTCGAGAGCACGCACGACCACGCACGCACAGAAATTGATTTCGAAGCCCAGCACTCGGTGTCTACGTCCATTAATTAAGCGCAGTAACCTAACGACGTCCAATTGAATAAGCAATTCGAGGAGAACCGAGAAGGTAAGGTTCCGCGCGCGGTGTGGAGGCGGGGACCCGGTTTCTTGTCGATCTTTCTATCGCCTCTTGTTTCTCCTAACACTCTGTTCTGACAACAGCTTCTAACACCCGTCCCGAGAGCTTTCCCGCATCAACAGGGTATATACGCCATCTCCTATCTAATCCGGAACACTTGCGACCCTGTCACCGTCGGATTTACTTTTTACCTCCTCCGCGAGGTCACAGGCCACGCCCCCGATCCCCTCCACCGACACTAACCTGTGTCACGACTGGCTCGGTGACTTCGCGGGGCCTACCAACGATGATCTTTTTCTCTCCTCCACCTCCACGCCGCTTGTTTGCTCCTGTTTTTTGATCAGAGACATTATTTTTCTAACGCATGCTTCTATGACGTAGCGTCACTCTGTAAAGTTTATGATATACTCTGTACCAGCTCCACAGGATACACGGTCTGTCCCACTCGAGACGGAACACGCCCACCTCCTCTGTTCGTCGGTGGTGCGACAAATGTTTCAAACACTGTTTTATGATTTCTTTTTAGGTTGTCATTATTCTTATCTGAAACGTACACCTTCTATTTATTATTACCGCGTAGCACGTGTTAAATATTCGCAATTTCTAAGCTTGATCATGAATATGAAAACGTTTGACGACCCAAAGGAATTTCTAACAAACGATTGTAATTATTTAAAATGTGTTTGAGACAGTTCTCGTATCATTTGTATCGCGAGGAAACTATTTCGGTGTTCGGTCGTAGGTGGGACACCCTGTATATATTATTGTGTACCATATTATTATGCGCAAGCTGTTCGATCGCGTGGAAAGCATTTTCAGGAACGATTCTGCAGACCGATCTAAAACGTAAATCAAAAGTAACGATCTTGTTGCAGCGACCAGCGCAGCGAATCGTCATTCTTCATTTTCATTTTAAATTGACTCGTATAATTCTCTCCTTGGCACGCTCGATCGAACACCCTGCATATATGTATACAGACACACGGACACACACACACACACACGGATACACACACACGGACACACGTTTCGTAGAGATAAGTACGGAGAGAGATTATGTAGTGTCTAATTACATAAGTGGTAATACTGTTCAACTGGTCGACAACGGCAACCCTTTCGAGACGCAGGAACGTTGCAAATTTTTGTTCCCGTTTAGCCGCCGTGACCCTTGTCACGTGTCCGGGAGAGAGCGCAGGCATCTGGGAGCTGTATCCTTGCGTTTATCTTGCTCCCAAGAGCGGGATTTGCGGGCGGACACGCGGCGAGAGCGTAATTACTTTGTAAAGGCTAATCAGATGAAGATATCTGGAACTCGCGAGCAGTTTGAAATTTTCGTGCCCGGCTACGGACTGCCACGGTGAGCCAACGTTTTCCGGGAGCGGCAGGTTTCGATATAATTAATCTCGAAGTTGTGTAAAACGAGGGGCCGGAGAGGGGGGGGGGGGGAGAATCGTTAATGAAATCGCGTGCGACCGGGCTCTTTAATCATCGTCGTAATGAAACCATTCCGTCAGAGCTGCTGATTAATCTCCCGTCACAAAAGGCTTATGAATTGAATCCTCGGGGAACACATCGGCTGCGCGAAGCTGCCTCAGGCTTCCCCCACTCCGGTCGCGCGAGGAGGCGTGGCCAGAGCATGGGAGGAGCTTCCTCCGCGAGGCGGAGTGGGCACTGCGACCTTGGCCGGCCGATTTCCGCGTACACTGTCGTCACTTTGTTCTTTCATTTCTCCGCGATAAATCGAACCTTTTCGGGGAAAATTGATGCCGGGCTTCTCGATAGGGTTGGTCCGCGTTACCGAGAAAGCACAAACGTCAGTACCAAATGTGCATTATGAATACGTATAACTCGAGATACCTCTGCTGAACTACTGAGATTCCTCGTCGAACTAGACCAACGCGGGAAAGTATTAATCTTGTGCATTAGGTGCGGCCCCAAAAAGATCCACTAAAAAAATACACACATACACACATACATACATACATACATACATAAACATGTGCACACATACGCGCGTAAATATATCAGATTGCTCTATTTTAATCACGACTTTTTCACAGTACAATTACGAATCGCCTTTCGAGCGCCACGTTGAACTTCTTAAATGTAAAAGAACTATATACTTTTCGACGATGTTTTTTCTGAGATAAACTGTGAACAGAATATTCGTTTCGCGGACTACAACGCTGATTTCTAAGCCCGTGTTCGCACCTACCGACATTTTAATCGCGAACTATTACGCGAACGATTCATTTGTATCGTTTAAATCGTATAGATCAAGCGAGGAGCACTGCTCCGACCCCGCGAGAATCGAGAGCGCCTAAGCCACGCCTACTGGGAGCGCCTGAGCCACGCCCACTGTCTTTACTTCTTTTACTTCTTGTTTCTTTTGAAACGTAATTACTGCTCGTAGTTTGCTCTCAGGACAAACGGTGACTATTTTTTACTATATTTCCACATATTTTATGCGATTTTTAAGTCGCATAATAAGTGTTGGTCGGTGGGAACGCTGCTTAATTCATCACCTTGCTCAAGCCACGCGGTAACTAAGCGTTTCTACGAAAATTTTTGAAAACCATTTCTACGGCTCGCGAGTATGAACTGGAAACAGGCCTGTTCCGAGAGATTCCTCGATTTCCCGATTCAACGTGGTTGCAAATCGTACCTCAACAATGGTCGTGCCTAAAGAGACGAAGAGAGAGAGAGAGAGAGTTTGAGAGAGAGAGCGTGTGTGAGAGAGAGAATGATGATCACGAGAGAGCCGAGAACCGAATCGAATGGAACCTGGAACCTTGCGGGCGAAAATAACGCGTAGAAGAGACAGAGGCCCGGCTGTAATTGAATCTCCCCGCGTTCCTCGATCTTTCGAAACTATTTTTTAACCTGGTGTCCGGGATTGTTCAAGTGCCAAGCTTTTCGATACTGTTGTTTCGCGAGGAAACTGGGATACAATGTGAAGATTATGAAATTGATCGTTTTCTATTTTCTCTTCACAGACTGCACTAAAATTTACTATAAATTTAACCTTTACAGAAGTTACATAAATTTCTCGACTCGATGGATATTGATTTTTTCAATGTTTTAATTTTTAAACAATCCAGAATAATAATTAATCGTTATGAGACCCCACCAAAAATTCTTATATTACGTTCCAATATTATTTTTACATTATCAAAATTGTTTATATTTCTGAATATAAAATCGAGATACTGTAGACCAGATAAACAATTTTGGATTTAAAGTTAAAATGGTTTACAGTGTAAACGGGTAAATCTAAGTGTTATGATTCCTATTTTAAATCCAAATAAAATTCTACTTCTCAATTATAAATATTTAAGCATTGACGTAATTCGTATACAATAAATATAAATGTTCTTTTCCGTACGTCAGTTTATTAGCAACAAAACGATAATAACCAAAGTAATTGTAAAAGAAATTGTAGTGCAATCGCGGTTAAATTTCGTCTCATTTTTTTCAATTAAATATTCCGAGGGGAGAATATGGCGATACCGTGCACTTTATTATCAAAGAGAAACGTAAGGAAAAATAATTGACACCGTTGTGCCAGGGGAGAACGAACGTAGGGTGTTTCGAGCTCGCGTTAGGGGATCGATATAAACGCGAATGGCCGATGCACTCGTCGATGCACCGCTTCCAGGTTGCATTCCAAACAGACGATTCCGACGGCGTAGAGCGATCGACCGGCGTCAGAAACTCTGTTAATTACACAACGATAAACTGCAAACGTTGGTTCGATGTATTGGATGTATTTATGTACGTGATGTAACAGCTGTTATTGGCCGACAGATTAAAAGTATGTCGATTAGGAGGACGTTGGATCATTTTCTCAGCCACGATGCCTCTTTTTAGTTCATTTTAATCGAGCCTCGTTAAGTTGGACACCGAATCTTACATTAATTAGTCCCAAATCCGGTGACATTTTATTTACGGTACTTTTCAAGAAATCATATTTTGAAACTTCCATCTGCGAGATCGATGCGTTCAGGATCTCGTTCGACAGCTTTAATTATTTTAACGCGGAGTACTCGTAGCAATTTTAATTAGCAATTTTAATCAGTAGAGCGTTGATAGTGTTCCGTAGTGGAATAGCGATTCATAACATCTCTGCGATATTGTTCTCGATATTATTTTCGACGCCTTGTTTCGCCATCTCGACTTCCAAATAGTAATAATTTTTCAAATAATATTTCCAAATGCTTCGCCACCGATTTTCGAGGATAGATATCAAATTCTGGTGGCGATATGGTGATTCATAGAAGAGGAACGCGCGAACATTCACTGAAACGCACGTTCAATGGCACTTCTGATCCCGACAGCGTTGTTCCCAAGACCTTGCCAAGGAAGAATCGCCCGAATCTTTGCGTAACAATGTACGTTTGTTTAATTGGTCGGCAAGACGGTGCCAAGAAACTAGCGTAAGCCCGCACGTACGCATCGCGAGGCATGCATTCGTCGGGACAATACCTGTTGGCGTGAAAACCGCGGGCGATATTTCGGTAGCTCGTTTCGGGGGAGCGTCCGACAATTATTAGCAATGCCGCGCTGCGTCGTCCGAAGAGGCATTTCGTAGGTAAACTCGGCATTCCGATGACACAAATTTACAGACAACGATGCAGAGACGTCTCACATAATAACCACGAAATTCGCCGATCGAACAGCTCTGATGCAATCAACTTTTCTAGTTACGAGAAGCGAGAGAAACGCGCGGAGACGATTTAAAAACGTACAAAAGGATCGATAAGATCGGATTCGAATTATTTAAAAATAATTCAAACGATTTCGTATCTCGATTCTTCTTCGCACAGCAAACTCACGAATTTTGCATAATTTGCTCCGAGTCGCTAATCTTCCGTATCGACATCGATACAAAAATGATCCATAAAAGTCGTTAATACTGCATCTTAAAGAGTCGCAGCACAATGCAGAGTTTCAATCAAGATTTTTAATGAAGACTTCGATCAAGATTTCGATCGGATCTTTGCCATCAATGAAAAGATGAAATCGTACGATTGCGTATCTCGACGAAAGAAGAAAACGACGAAGAAAACAGAAGAATGTGTCCGATCAGAAGCGAACGAACCAGCAACGCAGTTCAAACAAACAGGATAGAAATGGCGCCGAGCAAATCCGAGACGAAATTGGGAGGCGCCCCATTTTAGCTTGCAGGCGTTCGAAAACAAAATTTCACGAAAATCACGACCAGTTCGCTCGCATACCAGCCAGGTGAATCAGAGAACGCGAATTGCGAGTTCGGCTGTATTTGCGTAACGATATTTCCGGTCGAGATTCGGCCGTGAACGGCCCGCGAATGGTGCTTGATCTTCGTCGTAGACGGGCCTCTCTCTCTCCGTCCGCCATCTTCGGTCTCGTCAGCTGTTGCCCACCGGTGGCCTTTAATTAACCAAAAATTACGGGAACTTGCCCCATAAATCGCGGCTTTATTTACCATCCATTACGCTTTCATTTATCTCGCCGGCCATTCGGCGGATCTACGTAAACAACGATATCAATTTTCTTTCGAAAACAAAGCAACAAATTATACACGTTTAGTTTCTTTTAAATATAGCCGCTTCTTATTTTTGCCCGTTAAAATTATATTTTTGTGTATTGTTCCGAAATACCGAGGCGTTTATAAGATAGACTATCGGGAGCAACGAATTATAACGCTACCGTTTTCTTTTAAACATAGATACATCTTATTTTTGTCGGTCAAATTGTATTTTCGTGTATTATTACACTATCGGGCGCATTAATACGGGCAGAAACTTGAACAATATTACTTTTCTTTTTAATATAGATACTTCTTATATTTTAAATAAACGTACACACCTCCGTTTGTCAATCTGAAATAATAAGTAAATTTATGCGAATAAAATCGTCGAAGGTATTTATCCATTTATTTCAAACTTTATAGAAGTTCGATCGATTACTGAAGCATTCAGGGTTGTTCGCGAGCAACCCTTTCCGACTTTCATAAAATAAAACTCTAAAATACTACTATATACTTCCCGAGCAAAAACCACCCCTGAAGACGCTCGAACGCAGAGAATAAACCACGGATTCCTCTAATCTCGGCAACTTACAGCAAGAATATCCACGATTATTGTCGCTCGGCACGGAGTCCAGCCAGGTGAACGAATGAAAAAATAAACAGGCCCGGAGAGGTCGAGCCCCTCGGAGCTGACAAAACGACCTTGGACGCGACTCATTCAAGCCGCCAGAAGGCTCCGGGTGCCGGCAAGCCGTGCAATCAAGGTCGCCCAAAATCCTGGTCGTTCGTCGTTGCTTACCTGAAGCCGGCCTAAAAATAGGCGCCGATAGGGGAGGGTTCGACACATGCGAGGGAAAAAGCGAAACGATTCCGAAATAATGCCAGCGAAACGGCGGGCCGCTGCCATAAATCACGCAGCGGCGGATCGACAAGGCTCTGGCAGCATCGGCGGAGCCGTGAGCGTCGCGACGCGCTGCTCGCGGTGCTATTTACGCGAAGAAAATAGTGGGGCGTCTCTCTATTTCGGTCGGACCAGCCAGGGCCGTTCAGTCTGCGGGCTGGCTTCCTCACCAGGAGGCAGGCGGCTCCGAATTTGCCCTAATCGCCGTCGCGCGCTCCAGGGAGAACGGTTCTCGAGACGCGGATCGGTCCGGCAGGGGTGGCCACCCCCGGAGACCGCCGCCGATAGGCCTCCAAGCTCGCGGGACGCGCGATTTGAAAAATGCCCAGGGATAGTCTGTGTACGATGAAAGCGGTGCGACAGCCGGTGATTCGAAGGTGGTAGGCATTGCTCGGTCCCGTTGTACCTGAAGAGCTCGGGGACAGTTCTCGGCAAGATGTTCTGGTCCGAGCCCGACGAGGAGGAAGAGGCGCTGTTATGCAGCCCTGCCCTCATGGCCAGGAGGGCCTCGGAGTCCTGGATCGTCGCGCCTCCCGTGGAGGTACGAAAAGGCTCAAAAACAATACGACCTCGTCCTTCGAACGGTTAGGTAGTCCGGTGTTAGGGAGAACTCGAGGCACCAGTCTTGGCCGGCCAACTTTTTACGCTAGATTTACCGACCCGTTGATCCGACAGCGAACAGAATACAATAATGTTTCCCTAATTGACGCTCAGATTGTCCAAAAAAATGGACAATTTGGGAAGAGGAGATACGATCATTCGATCCTTGCAACTCGTTTTTATAGTTACCGATTTTCAACAGTTATAACAACGAGCTGCAAGGCTCGAATAATCGTATCTCCTCTTCCAAAATTGNGGCACGGAGTCCAGCCAGGTGAACGAATGAAAAAATAAACAGGCCCGGAGAGGTCGAGCCCCTCGGAGCTGACAAAACGACCTTGGACGCGACTCATTCAAGCCGCCAGAAGGCTCCGGGTGCCGGCAAGCCGTGCAATCAAGGTCGCCCAAAATCCTGGTCGTTCGTCGTTGCTTACCTGAAGCCGGCCTAAAAATAGGCGCCGATAGGGGAGGGTTCGACACATGCGAGGGAAAAAGCGAAACGATTCCGAAATAATGCCAGCGAAACGGCGGGCCGCTGCCATAAATCACGCAGCGGCGGATCGACAAGGCTCTGGCAGCATCGGCGGAGCCGTGAGCGTCGCGACGCGCTGCTCGCGGTGCTATTTACGCGAAGAAAATAGTGGGGCGTCTCTCTATTTCGGTCGGACCAGCCAGGGCCGTTCAGTCTGCGGGCTGGCTTCCTCACCAGGAGGCAGGCGGCTCCGAATTTGCCCTAATCGCCGTCGCGCGCTCCAGGGAGAACGGTTCTCGAGACGCGGATCGGTCCGGCAGGGGTGGCCACCCCCGGAGACCGCCGCCGATAGGCCTCCAAGCTCGCGGGACGCGCGATTTGAAAAATGCCCAGGGATAGTCTGTGTACGATGAAAGCGGTGCGACAGCCGGTGATTCGAAGGTGGTAGGCATTGCTCGGTCCCGTTGTACCTGAAGAGCTCGGGGACAGTTCTCGGCAAGATGTTCTGGTCCGAGCCCGACGAGGAGGAAGAGGCGCTGTTATGCAGCCCTGCCCTCATGGCCAGGAGGGCCTCGGAGTCCTGGATCGTCGCGCCTCCCGTGGAGGTACGAAAAGGCTCAAAAACAATACGACCTCGTCCTTCGAACGGTTAGGTAGTCCGGTGTTAGGGAGAACTCGAGGCACCAGTCTTGGCCGGCCAACTTTTTACGCTAGATTTACCGACCCGTTGATCCGACAGCGAACAGAATACAATAATGTTTCCCTAATTGACGCTCAGATTGTCCAAAAAAATGGACAATTTGGGAAGAGGAGATACGATCATTCGATCCTTGCAACTCGTTTTTATAGTTACCGATTTTCAACAGTTATAACAACGAGCTGCAAGGCTCGAATAATCGTATCTCCTCTTCCAAAATTGTCCATTTTTGTGGACAATCTGTGCGTCAGTTAGGGAGACATTGCTGTACGTTACTCTTCGGTACACTTTGATTGATCAGGCTCGCTGACCTTCGGCTCTTCCACGTTCAAACGGTTGGGTGTAGTAGATTGTAACCCTTTTCTGGATGCTGCGGTGAGCTGGTCGTAAATCTAGCGTCGATCTCCGTGTGTGAGGCTGGATTTGGGGAAATATTTGGTAGAGGAGGTACTGTCTTTGCTTTCTTCTCCGGCATAATTAGGTTTGTATTTATCGAACATGACACACATGCGAAATATTTGTTCTTTTACTTTGCTCATTTGTGAAATTGCTAATTATGCCCGAAAACAAACGAAAGACACAAGAATTAATCATACGAAATATCTTCGCTCTTTTACTTTGCTCGTTTGTAAAATTGAACATGTTTTATTCGATATTAATTATGCTAATTATGCCCGAAAACAAACGAAAGACACAAGAATCGATCACCTCGCAGAAATCGGCACTACTACCCTAAGTTTGTTTTTTGATCTCTTATCGTATGGTTGTTACGCGATGGAGATAGTCTTCGTTGAATATGTGCGATAAATATCTGATGTTCGTTTTTTCAGTTGTAGTTGTTAGGGGCTCGAGATAATCTTCACTGAAAAATTGGGGATGAAGAGCACCCTCTAAAAATCGTTCAGGGACGAATTGTTTAATCGCAAACATTTTAATATCGGGTTTAAGTTGACGAAGTATTGAAATAAGTGTTTTTCGTTCGCAATTATCACATTCAAGGAAAGATAACCGTTGAATCGATTTCAAGAAAGCTTATTTCTCTCGATAATCCTTTGTCGACGTTCTCTTTTAATTTTTCTGTCGCTGTCACAAATTCTGCGAAAGCTAATAAATATAGAATATTAGTTATATATACATATATATGTATATTGTATATATATCAGAATACATATACGTTATTAATCGACTTCTGAAAATAGAAATGCCCGAATCCGAGCAGCGAGGCTGCAGAAAACTGATAAAACGGCGGCATTTCATGGCACCTAGAAGTACCACCAGGTGTCCTTATCGACAGGCGACACCTTGGAAATTCATCGTGCGACATCGGTTGATTCAGCTGCAGCATGAATCACGATGATCGACGAAAATACAGAGGGATTACCGTCCGATAAGCTTGACAGGGCTGTCGAGAGAGGTACGGGAAGCTAATGCAGGGCTTTCCTCTGCGGGCATCACATTATCGGTGCAATTAACAATGCTCCGGAGTAGCAGCCTCGAAACCAGCGATAGAGCCTCGCCGACCCATAACCGGCGATACCAGACAAGATACGAGACGAGAGTTCCGATCGGGGGTTAATTAAAGACACCGGGGGAGCCATAGTTACAGAGCACTATCATCGGGCGAGAGGGCAGAGACGCCGATTAGATTTTACGGCTGGTGAAACGGGGCAAAAATCCGGCCAAAGATAAAAGAGAGGGAGAGCGAGAGAGGACGCGTCCTCGATTTTTCTTGGGAAACTGGATTATTCTAATCTCCGGCCTCTTATCGGATGATATATTTCGCTTCCGTGTAAAAATTCGCTGCGAGAGGTCACTAGCATCGGCGTTAACACCGGGACACATAATCGTTGTCGGGGTCCGGTTATCGTGTCCGGAGATTCCACGAGAGCCGAACGAAAAATCGGTGTCGAAGGTCAACGGATCCACGGAGCCAGCGTGGCCTTTGCATCACTATTACGTGCGATTACGAGCGAGGCTGCACGTTTTGGAACCGGTCCAAGGATTCCCCTAGGTTACACCCTTCTGGCCCGTTTCCCTGCCGATCCGCCGAATCGTGGAACTAATGAACACGTAAAACGTCCGACAAACCGACGAACAAGTTGCCGTTTCTCACCTCGGACGCGTTCCGAGCCGCGACCTTTCACCCCCCCCCCCCCCCACCCCCTCCCCCCC